GTCAAGTGATCTCAGTCTGGCAATCCCAGATCTCTGCAGCATCACTTGGTCACTGCCCTCTGGGGCTGTAATTAGCTTTCACTCTTACTGTGACATTGTTTTATAAAGCTATTTGTGTATGTTTGTAATGATCCTGAATAGGATCTGTTTGGGGGACCAAATCTGAATCTTTAGTGATGCTGATCTCTTAGTTCCCTTGGCAAAACAGGTAGGTGAGGGGGATAAGAAATGGTAAGAAAATCAGAGAACAAAGGTTTCTCCATTCTAAGGGTGGAGATGGTTTTGGTGATATGATGAAGATTTTCTCAAGTCGGATCCACTCTATTATAGCAGTCTCTTAATTGGGCTTCTTTTCTTGTTTGGCCTTTCCTTCCAGCCTATCTGTCACACTGGCATATGAATCATCTTCCTCCAGCACTGGTCTCATCCATTAATTCCTTACTCTAAGTCTTTATTCCCCTTTATTTATTAACAATACTCAGTACTTCATCATCTGAAGTTAGAGCCTGAGGTAAAATAAAAGTATTATGCTGAGCGAAATAAGTCAATCAGAGAAAGACATGTATCATATGACCTCACTGATATGAGGAATTCTTAGTCTCAGGAAACAAACTGAGGGTTGCTGGAGTGGTGGGGGGTGGGAGGGATGGGGTGGCTGGGTGATAGACATTGGGGAGGGTATGTGCTATGGTGAGCGCTGTGAATTGTGTAAGACTGTTGAATCACAGACCTGTACCTCTGAAACAAATAATACATATGTTTAAAAAAGAAGAAGATGGAAGGGAAAAACGAAGGGGGGGGAATCGGAGGGGGAGATGAACCATGAGAGACTATGGACTCTGAAAAACAAACTGAGGGTTCTACAGGGGAGGGAGTGGGGGGATGGGTTAGCCTGGTAATGGGTATTAAAGAGGGCACGTTCTGCATGGAGCTCTGGGTGTTATGCGCAAACAGTGAATCATGGAACACTACATCAAAAACTAATGATGTAATGTATGGTGATTAACATAACATAATAATAAAAAAAATAAATAAAAGTAATCTCAACTTTCTTTTTCATCTTATTTTCTACTGTTCTCTTAAACATTTCCCATTCTCTGGGCAACCTGCACTCTTCACCATTATCTGAATACCTTGAACTTAACTGTCATTTCTATATTGTGCTATCTGCTTGAAATGATTCTTCAGACTCTCTTTATGTATTATAATATTATTATTTATAAAAGTTCTGCTCAATGCTGCATTTTCCATTTTGTCTTTCTGATCACCACAGCTATGGCTTTCTCCTTCCACTTTACTCAGGTATTGCTAAGTCTGTGGCATTCATCTCACTATGCTTGTTGATATTGACTTAAGATGTGAGAGAGGCATTGTCTTACCAAGCAACTAACAGATACTAAGATATAGATACTAAGTAAGTACATTTTAATTAGTAAAATAATTAAATAAGAAGGCACAGTAGAATAGGAATAAACAGAACTAGGACTACATTGGTCTGAGTTGCCATCTGCATCCATAACTGATTTTTTGACATGCATAAATACTCTTTGTGTTTTCCATTTGTACACAATTAGCAACAGTTATAACTAAAGATGCTAAATGGATCTTGAAAAAAAAATGGGAGTTAGGGAGCAAGTTATTTCCTGAAAGGCAGGTCTTTGTGGGTTTGCCTCTTTTTAGGTAAGTTTATGCAAATTTTTATCTGAATGAGCACACCTTTGGAAATTCCATGAAGCACCTCACCCCCATGCAGGTGCAAATGACCAGTATGATTTAAGGTGGTCAAGAAAGGCTTCAGAATAGTTTTTGTGAGAATTTATCCGTGACTTTGGCTGTAGGGAGGTTGTGGAAATGGCACAGCCCTTCTTATTGTCAGGACACAAACTTCTCACAAATCAAGCCCTGAGCAGTGTCTCCACTTAGGAGCAAATTATTCTATAGAAAATATCCCTAATGAAGCCTTTCAAGCTATTGGACAGCAGCTTAGACATGAAAACCTAAACTGAAACCAGTTCTTAATTATCTCACAATAATGTATTGAAAATTTAAAAAATTTTAATACTTGGAACTCAGAACTGGGACATGTAGCTAACTGGTCCTTACTACTTATTAGGTACCACTTATTGTGCCCTTACAATATGGTAGGTACTGCATTAGGTACATGTTACATATATCATCATATCACCTAGTTCTCACCATGCACTGCAAGAGAGGTGTTGTGATCTACTTTTACAGATGAGGAAACTGAGGCTTGGAGAAGTTAAATAACTTTCCCATGCTCGTATAGCAAGTTGTAGTGGAGTCTGGATTTAAAACAGCCTTCATAGACTTCAAAGCCCAAGCTATTCACAGCTCTTTTGTAGCCTTCTCAAGTTAGAGTAGCAGTTTTAACTTCTGGGTAATTTCCATTTCCGTTGCATTATAAAAAGCAGTCTTTCCATTCATTATCATATGTGATAGTCACAGGAAATTGTGAGCCTGTTGGGCAGGTACTGAAGGAGTTTGCCTTTTCAAATTGAATCACTTGTTCAGAGGTGGGAATTGGATCTTCCTGTTTAATTTTATCTGAACTCTTCTGAACTTTCCCCCTCTGTCCCTCTATGGTTTCTTTTTTGTCTTCCTTTCATTATCAGTGTGTGTGTGTGTGTGTGTATTATTATTATTATTTTTTTAAGTAGCCTCCACACCCAGTGTGGGGCCCAACATGGGGCTTGAACTCATGATCCTGAGATCAAGACATGAGCTGAGATCAAGAGTCAGATGCTTAACCGACTGAGCCACCCAGGTACTGCAGTATGTATCTTTTCTAATTTCTGCTTTCCTTGTGTCTTTCTCTCTTTTCATATTGTCTTCTATTTCCTCTCTTCCCTATTTCGTTCTACCTCTCAGATTATCGCCAAGCTTCATGAAATTGAGTGTTAGGTGTAGGTTTGCGGAGAAAAGTTTCCTCCATCCCCAAGCAAGGTATATGTTGTAGAGGTTGGGGTGCCTCTGAATAGAGACTATTAGTTATGGTTATTGTCAGTTTTGATATAAGAGATAAGAAAAGTTCTTTTCCATGTGTGCAATCTATTTCAAAGATGGTGGAAAAACAGTGTCAGAGTCACTGGTTCCTGAGTGTGGAGTGATTATTAACCAATGTTTCATTCTGGAAATATTTACTGACTTTTACACTTAGGAACTTCAGACAATAAAATAAAACTTTTGAGGCATTATGGTTAATAGCAAAAGACTACAGTTTGCAGATTAAGGTATTTCACACTCATATTTAAAAGGACACATCATGGGGGCACCTGGGTGGCTGAGGCGGTTAAAGGTTGGACTCTTGATTTTGGCTCAGATTGTGATCTTGGGTTCGTGGGATTGAGGCCTGTGTCAGGCTTGCACTTAGTGACGAGTCTGCTTGTCCCTCTCCCTCCCCCTTCTTGCTCTCTCTCTCAGCTAAATAATAAAATCTTAAAAAAAAGGGACATATTACATTCCATCCTCTTCCTGAAATCCTTGACCTTACTGGATAATACTGTCCTTCCTTTGAATTTCTTTTTTTTCCTCACACATTCAGCAAATAATTTTCTCTACTGTTTGTATGGCATATATTGTATACTACCTTATATTGTAGATATTATGTGTACAATTTATGTGTTTCCAGTGGGTTTATTGAGTTTGTGACTTACAGAAGTTAGAAAAACAGAAACAAAAACAAAAACAAACCCTGACCATTATGTACTGGAACTCTCAGGGAAAGCTTATTAAAAATAATTGAGAACATTTATTTGACTTTTGAGGACAGCAGACTATAGAGGTATGTTTGTACATATCTTAAGTCTGGATAGAAATCTTGCAGGGCCAGGTGTAGGTTCCAGGGGGAATTTTATTGAGTAGAGTGGCCAGTAGAGATCTCTGTATGATTTTGATAGTACTTTAAAAAATGGGAAGGTGTGGTTGATAAATCTGAGGAAATTATGCTAAGTGGAATAAGACAATCAAAAATAAATACTATGTGATTCCTCTTCTGTGAGGTTCCTAAAGTAGGCAAATTCAAAAAAACAGAAAGTAGGATGGTGATTACCAGGGGCTGAGGGGAGGGGGAAAGGGAGTTGTTGTTTAATGGGTATTGACTTTCAGATTTACAAGATGAAGAAATTCTAGGGATCTTTTCTACCACAGATGAATATACTTAATAATACTGAACTGTACACTTCTGCAGGGTTTATATCGTAGATTTTCATGCTATATGGTTTTTACCACAATAAAAAAATGGGAAGATTCAGAAAAGCAATGAACCTGATGTGATGAAAAAAAATGAAATTCTATCTTCGATAAAGCCCATTTCTCCCCTTTTACTACTCTTGACTGGTTTTGGTGTTTTCTTATTCCCCAGTTTCATTGTCCCTAATCTCAATCTTCATCCTGTTCTACAGTGTGTTTCTCCTTAATTCATTCCTATCTCATGTTTCAGAAAACTTTCACTCCTAAATGGTGATCCATTGATTAATCAGTTTCCCCACAATCCTACTCTCTGAGTGTAAATTGTACAGAGAGAAGAAATGGAAAATGATCATAAAAGGGGGATGAAATATGTTGATATGGGAAACTAGGGTCAGATATAATTTGTATAACTATAATTTCCCTTTGTGGGTAATTAAATTTTATTTTCACCTACTGTCTCTTTTTCTTTTGTGAGCAAATATACCTTCTTGCTTGTATATTTTGTTTATTGTTACAGGCACCTGTGAAGCTTTTCTTCTTGCCAAATTCTCCTATTAATTTTAGGCAATGAGAGATTTTCCTGATAGTTCCAATTATAATATGATCTCCTGAGTTGTGCTTATGTCATCATCATTGTCATCATTATCATCATTACTTATGAAGTCTGAAGAATTGGATTACCAGGTAGTTCTCATTTGGAAAGCAACATAAATAATTAATACCACTATCATTCCTGAGAATCATAATTTCTTTCTCACATTGTTAGTTCTCATCATTTCAGTGGCAGCCCAGTTGGCTGGATCCATGGATGGAAGGAATCACTCAGTTGTGTCTGAGTTTGTGTTTCTGGGACTCACTCATTCATGGGAGGTCCAGCTTCTCCTCCTGGTGGTCTCCTCTGTGCTCTATGTGGCAAGCATGACTGGAAACATCCTCATTGTGTTTTCTGTAACCATCGATCCTCACTTACATTCCCCCATGTACTTCCTACTGGCCAGTCTCTCTTTCATTGACTTGGGGGCCTGCTCTGCCACCTCACCCAAGATGATTTATGATCTTTTCAGAAAGCACAAAGTTATCTCCTTTGGAGGCTGCATTGCCCAGATCTTCTTCATCCACGTCATTGGTGGCGTGGAGATGGTGCTGCTCATTGCCATGGCCTTTGACAGATATGTTGCCATTTGTAAGCCTCTCCACTACTTGACCATCATGAGCCCGCGAATGTGCATTTTGTTTCTGGCTGCTGCTTGGGCCCTTGGCATTATTCACTCACTGTTCCAACTAGCATTTATTGTTAATTTACCCTTCTGTGGTCCTAATGTATTGGACAGCTTTTACTGTGACCTTCCTCGTCTCCTTAGACTAGCCTGTACAGATACCTACAGATTGCAGTTCATGGTGACTGTCAACAGTGGGTTCCTTTGTGTTGGCTCTTTCTTCACACTCCTCATCTCCTACATCTTCATCCTGTTTACTGTTTGGAAACATTCCTCAGGTGGTTCATCCAAGGCCCTCTCCACTTTGTCAGCTCACATCACTGTGGTATTTTTTTTCTTTGGTCCAACCATGTTTATCTATACATGGCCACATCCCAATTCGCACATGGACAAATTTCTTGCTCTCTCTGATGCTGTTCTCACTCCTTTTTTAAATCCTGTCATCTACACATTCAGGAATAAAGACATGAAGGCAGCAATGAAGAGAGTATGCAGACAGCTAGTGATTTACAGGAAGATCTCATAGGTAATATAAGGCCTTCTCACTAATCATGGTGTAGCCTTTTGTTTCTGTCTTTGATATTTTGGATTCAGAAAACTTGAGACATCAAATATTGATTTGAGTGTTGTCACAGCTGTAACATAATTCTTACTTGATGAATGTATTTATTCCTTGTGAAAAGTGAGCCATGAGAACAGGAAGATATATTTCTACCTATGTAGACCCCATTTAATTTCTTTCAGCAGTGTTATATAGTTTCTGGTGAACAGGTCTTACATATCTTTCTTGAGATTTATTCCTAACTATTTTAATTTTTGGTGCTATTCTAAATGGTATTTTTTGTTTAATTTACAATTGTTTATTGCTAATATATAGAAATAGATGTTTTGTTTATTGGCATTGTATTTTGAAAACTTGCAAAATCTTTCTACTTGTTTTTTATAGAGTAAGTAGGATTTTCTTCATAGATGATCATGTTTTCAGGGCATAAAGATGTTTTTCTTCTCATATTCTAGTATGGATCATTTTTGTTGCCTTATTGTACTTGCTAGATCAAACAGTGTAGTGCTGAATACAAGTGGTTCGGGTGGACATCCTTGACTTGTTTTTATTCTTATGAGAAAAGCATTCAGTTTTTCACCATTAAGTATGATGCTAGCTGTAGGTTTTTAGTAGAAGCTTTTTATCAGACTGAGGAAATTCCTTTCTATTTAGCTTGCTGAAAGTTTTTAAAATCAGGAATGGATGTTGGATTTTGAAACAATGCTTTTTCTGGCTTAGTATCAGGATAATGCTGGCCTTATAGAATCTATTTCCTTGTATTAAATTTATTACAAGAGTTCTGTAGAATTGGTATTGTTTCTTTCATAAATGTTTGGTAAAATTCACCATAGGAGTCATTTTGGCTTGCAGTTTTCTCTGTGTAAAGGCTTTCAACTATAAATTCAATTTTTGGTAGCTTGTGTCTTCAAAGAAATTTGTATATTAATCTGTATTATCAAATTTATTGGAAGAAGTTGTTCCTAATATTCTCTTATTATGAAGTATCTATGACTTATAATAGTTTCCTCTCTTTCATTGTCTCTTGGTAGTTTGTTTTTTTAAAAAAATTTTATCAGCATTTTAGAGGTTTTCCAGTTCCCTTTTTTTTATAGAAGTGAAATTTGTATATAACATTATATATGTTTCAGGTGTAAACGTTATAATTTGACATCTGTATACATGGCAAAATGATTACCACCAAAAGTCTAGTTACTGTTCATCACTGTACAATTGACCCACTTCACCCATTTCACCCATCCCCCAACATACTTCCCCTTTGGTGACTACCAATCTGTTCTCTGTATCTGTGATTTTGGTTTTGTATTATTTTGCTTGTTTTAGGCTTTTTTTTTTTTTTTAGATTCCACATATCAGTAAAATCATGCACTATTTGTCTCTGTCTGACTTATTTCACTTAGCATAGTAGCCTTGAAGTCCATTTATGTTGTTGCAAATGACAAGATTTCATTTTTCTTTGTGGCTGAGTAGTTTTCTATTGTTTATATATACCACATCCTCTTTATCCATTTACCTATTGATGGATACTTAGGTTGCTTCCATATGTTGTCTGTTGTAAATAGTGCTGCAATAAACATAGTAGTACATATATCTTTTCAAATTAATTTTTTTGTATTCTTTGAATAAATACGCAGAAGTAGTATCGCCGGATCATATGGTAGATCTATTCTTAATTTTCTGAGGAATCTCTACCCTTTTCCAGAGTGGCTATACTAATTTACATTCCCACCAACAGGGCAGAAGGGTTCCTTTTTCTCCACATTCTCTCCAACACTTGCTTCTTGTCCTTTTGATAATAGCCATTCTAACAGTGTGAGGTGGTAACTCATTGTGGTTTTGATTTGCACTTCCCTAAAATTTAGTGATACTAGACGTCTTTTCCTGTGTCTGTTGGCCATCTGTTGTCTTCTTTGGACAAATGTCTGTTAATATCTTCACATTTTTTAACTGGATTATTTGATTTTTGAGTGTTGTTTGATAAGTTCTTTATAGATTTTAGATACTAACGCTTTGTCAGATGTATCATTTGCAGGTATCTTCTCCCATTCTGTTGGTTGCCTTTAGATTTCTTGTTTCCTTCACTGTGCAGAAGCTTTTTATCTTGAGGACATCCCAATAGTTTAATTTTGCTTTTGTTTCTCTTGTCTCAGGAGACATATCTAGAAAGAAGTTGCTATGGCTGATGTCAAAGAAGTTACTGCCCGTGTTCTCTTCTAGGATTTTTATGGTTTCTGGTCTCACATTTAGATATTTCATCCATTTTGAATTTATTTTGTGTGTGATGTAAGAAAGTGGTCCAGTTTCATTCATTAGCATATAGCTGTCAGGTTTTTCTCCAAACCCATTTGTAGAAGAGACTTTCTCATAGGATATTCTTTCCTACTTTGCTGAAGATTAATTGACCATAAAGTTGTGGGTTCATTTCTGGGTTTTCTGTTCTGTTCTATTGATCTACATGTCTGTTTTTGTGCCAGTACCATACTGTTTTGATGACTGCAGCTTTGTTTTTTTTTTAAAAAGATTTTATTTATTTATTTGACAGAGAGAGACACAGTGAGAGAGGGAACACAAGCAGGGGGAGTGGGAGAGGGAGAAGGAGGCTTCCCGCTGAGCAGGGAGCCCGATGCGGGGCTGGATCCCAGGACCCTGGGACCATGACCTGAACCAAAGGCAGATGCTTAACGACTGAGCCACCCAGGCGCCCCAGATGACTGCAGCTTTGTAATATAACTTGAAGTCCAGAATTGTGATGCCTTCATCTTTGCTTTTCTTTTTCAAGATTGCTTTGGCTATTCGGAGTCTTTGTGTGTGGTTTCATACAAATTTTAGGATTGTTCTAGATCTGTGAAAAATGCTGGTGGTATTTTGATTGGGATTATATTAAATGCGTAGATTGATTTGGGTAGTATAGACATTTTAACAATATTTGTTCTTCTAATCTATGAGCATGGAATGTCTTTCCATTTCTTTATGTTGTCTTAAATATCCTTATCAGTATTTTATATTCTCAGTAAGGTCTTTCACCTCTCTGGTTAGGATTATTCCTAGGTATCTTATTTTTGGTCCAATGGGATTGTTTTCTTAATTTCTCTTTCTGCTGCATCATTATTGGTATATGAAAATGCAACAGATTTTTGTATGTTGATTTTGTATCCTATGACATTAGTGAATTCATTTATCAGTTATAGCAGCTTTTTTGGTGGAATCTTTCAGGTTTTCTATATAGTACCATGTCATCTGCAAATAATGAAAATTTTACTTCTTCCTTACTAATTTGATGCCTTTTATTACTTCTTATTGTCTGATTGCTGTGGCTAGGACTTTCAGTACTATGTTGAATAAAAGTGGTGAGTGGATATCCTGGTTTTGTTCTTGACCTTAGGGGAAAAGCTCTTAGTTTTTCCCATTAAGGATGATGTTAGTTGTGGGTTTTTCATATATGGCCTTATTATGTTGAGGTATGTTCCTTCTAAACCTACTTTGTTGAGGGTTTTTTATCATGAATGGATGGTGTACTTTGTCAAATACTTTTTCTGCATCCATTGAAATGATCATATGGTTCTTGTCCTTTCTCTTATTGATGTGATGTATCATGTTGATTGATTTGTGAATATTGAACCACCCCTGAAACACAGGAATAAATCCCACTTCATTATGGTGAATGATTTTTTAAAATGTATTGTTCGATTTCGTTTGCTAGTATCTTGTTGAGGATTTTTGTATCTATTTCATCAGAAGTATTGGCCTGCAGTTCTCTTTTTTTTTAGTGGTGTCTTTATCTGGTTTTGATATGAGAGTAAGCTGGCCTCATAGAATGACTTTGGAAGTTGTCCTTTCTTTCTGTTTTTTTTGAATATTTTGAGAAGAATAGGTATTAACTCTTCTTTAAATGTTTGGTAGAATTCACCTATGAAGCCACCTGGTCCTGGACTTTTGTTTGTTGAGATTTTTTTTTTTGTTTACTGATTCATTGTCTTTGCTGGATATCAATCTATTCAAATTTTCTATTTCTTCCTGTTTCAGTTTTGGGAGGTTATATGTTTCTAGGAATTTATCCATTTTTTTAGGTTGTCCAGTTTGTTGACATACAGTTTTTCTTATATTCTCTTATAATTTTTTGTATTTCTGTGGTGGTGTCATTTCTCTTCTCTCATTTGTGATTTTATTTATTTGAGTCCTTTCTCTTTTTTTCTAAATATTTATTTATTTATTTGAGAGAGAGAGAGAGAGAGAGCACACAGAGGGAGAGGGAGAAGCAGACTCCCTGCCAAGCAGGGAGTCTCTTTGCTTTTTGATAAATCTGACTGGAGTTTTATCAATTTTTTTGAAGTTTTTCAAAGAACCAGCTCCTGGTTTTCATTGATTTGTTGTTGTTTTTTTTTTTTTTTTAGTTTCAATATCATTTAATTCTGCTTTAATCTTTATTATTTCCTTTCTTCTGCTGGTTTTAGGTTTTGTTGTTCTGCTTCTAGCTCCTGTAAATGTAAAATTAGCTTGTTTATTTGAGATTTTTCTTGTTTCTTGAGATAGGTATGTATTGCTATAAACTTCCCTCTTAGGACTGTTTTTGCTGCTTCCCAGACATTTTGCATTGTTGTGTTTTCATTTTTATTTGTTTCCATGTGCCTTTTTAAATTTCCTTTTTGATTTCCTGGTTGACCCATTTGTTGTTTACTTAACCTCCATGTATTTGTGGTCTTTCCACATTTTTTGTTGTGGTTGACTTCTAGTTTCATAGCACTGTGGTCAGAAAAGCTGCATGATATGACTTTGATCTTCTTGAATTTGTTGAGGCTTATTTTGTGACCTAATATATGATCTATTCTGGAGAATGTGTCATGTACACTTGAAAAGAATGTGTATGCTGCTGTTTTAGGATGGAATGTTCTGTAAGTCCATCTGGTCCAGTGTGTGATTAAAAGCCATTTTTCTTTATTGATTACCTGTTTATTTTAATTTATTTTTTAAACATTTTATTTACTTATT